GTCCTCCTGTCTCACACTGCAGCTGCCCTCGCTGTGGGCCGGAGCCCGCCGTGGCGTTGGCAATGTCCACGTCCCTCCCCACCCCCCCCCCACCCGTTTTTTAAAACCGAATTTGCTGCAGCAGCTCCCCGAGGGGAAGGAAGCGCTGTGCCTTTAAACAGGGAGGAGCTCCGCAGCCAGTGGCAGTAAAAGGCTAAAGCGGCGGGCAGCAGGGAGAGGGGGTTTAATCTAATTTAGTTGGAGGGTGTTGTGTTTTGGAGTGTGGGAATAGAGGCGGGGAGCTGCCCTCTTGAATGGTCCCACCGCCGGAAGCAGTGGGGCGCCGTCCATGGCAGCCATCCCCCGGCCCAGCCTTGAAAGAGGATTAAAGCCAGGCTCTGATTTGCAATTCACACCAATGCACCCCGTGGAACTTTTGGTAATATTTCAAGGGAAGTGGCCGTCCATTTTATGAGGGGGGGCTTTTCTGTGTATCTCTCTCTCTCTCTCTCATATACAACACACACTTGCCGCCAGTATTTTACAACTAGTGTCCTCAGATAGAATTCAAACTTGTGCTCTCTCTACCTCGTGGTGATGTACAAGTGACTAGAGCTTTTTTTTATGGGAAAAAAAAACCTAGAGGTTCAAGAGGTGGGTGAAGAGCAGCCTCCCCCCCCCCCCCAAGGCCAGGAAGTGGACTTCCCATGCAAGTTCATATCAGATACATTTCTGGAGACACGTACTGCAAGATGAGGTCAGGGGAAATAGCAGCTACTCACACGAGAAGGTTAATCCATCAAATGAGCTCGCCCCACATTTAAGGCGGCTTTGGGAAGAAAGGCCCTTGCTTAAACACCAATTCCGATGATGCGGAGGTAAGAGCTCCTGAGATTCGCTGAGTTCTCCAACCCAGGTCACCAAACTGTCGTGTGCCAAAAGAAGATCACTGAAGTGAGGATGCAGGCAAAAGCTTTCAAGCTGCCGGATGGCCGGGGAACCTTTGATCTCAAAATGTTTCTTTCCCCAAGCGCTGCTCCTATCTCCCGAAGTTACTCCGGCAGTGAGCTTGTAACATGGGAAGCTTATGGTTTAATTTCTCTTGATGGCTCAAAGTCTCAACGCTTTTAAAAAGAGATTGTTGGGGTTTTCTCTCATCCTATCTCAGGAAACTCGGCGTAGGGCTCTATGATTTCCAGAGAATATCACAGGATGAGGGAAGATACAACTGTGATGGGTAGCCATGTCCCAGCAAGGTACTTTATGCCTTTTACTTTGCTAGTTCCAGTGGAATGAAACCTGGCCTCTTTCAACTCCTGCTCAAAAAAGAAAATATCCAGTGCTTATTGAAGATACTGCCTGACTCTTGGAATATTCCGTTTCAAAAGCCTGGTGTTCTCCCTAGTGAACGAACATTCGCAAGAACTTAAAGGTAATGTTTAAGAGTAGTTCTCCTCTCTGTATGCTTACTTGTTAGGTGGTTAGAACCAAAAATATCCCTTGTCCCTGCTTGTTCTATGAAATGGTGTTTAATTATAAACTTTCATTAAAAACCTTTGCTCAAAATTTTAGAGGCCTAACAAGATTTCCATTAATTTAAACATATCACTACTCCCACGACAGCACCACGCTTTCTTTCCTCTCTTTCATCCGTGGTTAAATATGTAAATAAAATGTCTAAAGTCATTCTTCAAAGAAGACAAAAGAAAAAAGAGCTGAGGGGAAAGACAGCCATAAAATTCCTCCCGGTTCTCTATAACACTTGCCAGAGGGGGTCCTGCCTGCCAGTGCTGAGCAGCAGGGGACCGACGCGCGCTGCCCGGGTCCACACCTCAAATCCCACACACGGGAAAATACAAATAAAATATCTTTTCAGCCCGAGCCATCAAAGGCCCCTTTCATTTGTTAGTTGCAGAGTTATCTTCCAGTGGCTGATCTCTCCGAGCCCTCGTTTTCTGATAATAATGTCTATTTATTGCTGGGCTCCATCTCTGCTAGGCAGAGCCAAGCGCTGCTGAGGACGTGTATTATGGGGGGAGGGGGGAGGGAGGGGAAAGCCCTGTGAAGTGGCCATCATAAAATAATGGGCCTGAACAGGGCAGAATTAAAGCAGCACCAGATCAATCCCAAGGAACTTTCTCAGACAGTTGCAACGCTCCCTCTGCATTGGTGCCCCTTCCTCTGGCACGGAGGGGGGGAGGGAAGGGGGAGGTGGGCAGGCTGCAAGGGGGGGAGCACAGGCCTTGGCGTGCAGGCCGAGGAGGCCAGGCTGAGGCGGGTGGGACAAAGTAGGCAGGCCGAGGCGGGCAGGCCGTGATGGTCAGGCCGCGGTGGGCAGGCCGTGGTGAGCAGGCCACCAGGGCAGGCCGTACGCGGTGGACAGGCGGCGGTGCGCAGGCCACGATGTGCAGGCCGCACGTGGTGGACAGGCCGCGGTGCGCAGGCCACACGCGGTGGGCAGGCCGCGATGGTCAGGCTGCGGTGGTCAGGCCGCACGCAGTGGAAAGGCCACGGTGCGCAGGCCGCAGGCGGTGCGCAGGCCGCAGGCAGTGGACAGGCCGCAGGCAGTGGACAGGCCGCAGTGCACAGGCCGCAGGCAGTGGACAGGCCGCGGTGCGCAGGCCGCACGCGGTGGGCAGGCCGCGACGGTCAGGCTGCGGTGATCAGGCCACAGGCAGTGGACAGGCCGCGGTGCGCAGGCTGCACGCGGTGCGCAGGCCGCACGCGGTGCGCAGGCCGCACGCGGTGTGCAGGCCGCAGTGCGCAGGCCGTACGCAGTGGACAGGCGGTGGTGCGCAGGCCGCGGTGTGCAGGCCGCACGCGGTGGACAGGCCGCAATGGTCAGGCTGCGGTGGTCAGGCCGCCCGTAGTGGACAGGCCGCGGTGCGCAGGCCGCACGCGGTGGGCAGGCCGCCGAATCTTTTTAGCGTCCAGGTTTCCAAGCAGCCTCCTCAACCTAAGAGAAAACCCGAGTGGGAAGGCCCCGCGCACGCGCCCCGACCCAGGGCGGCTCTGACCGCGCGGTGGTCGGGAGGAGGCTCCGGGGGTGGGGTGCCGGGTAGCTCCCGGATGTCAGGACAAGGAATGAACGAGCGAACAAACGGACGGACGGACGGACCTCCCAAGATTCCAGCGAGGAGACCTCACAGCCTTGTTTCAATTGAAAGAGAAAGTGCGGGTTGGGTCCCGTTCCCAGGAGCCTGCGGGGAAGGGGGGACAGCGGAGGGGGGGCGGGAGGGGAAGGGAGGGACGGGGAGGAGGGAGGTGGCGTCGGGCGGCTCTCTCCTTCCTGGACCCTCCTGGAAGCGGCTACTCCGCCTGGCTGGACCCCGGAGCCGCGGGGCAGAGCGCGGGGCCGGCCAGGCGCCCGCAGGGAGGGTCGCCCGCTCCAAGCTCTGGCCACGGGTGGGACGGGGCCACGCGCTCGGGCACCGGGGCGCGCGGCCCGGGCAGGAGAGGGGTGCGGGGTCCCGTGACCGCGATCGGGGACCGGCCGTTGGGGACGTGCGCCCCGCTCCCACGCCGGGGCCGGCGGCCACGACTTCCCACAGTAAATAAAGCGGCCGCGGCTCCCGGGGACCCCTCCTCCCCCCCGCAGAGACCCCGGGGAGCCCCCAGCCCCGGGCTCCCGGCCCCTCCTCGCCTTTGAAACCCGGCGCCCGCCCCGCCCCGGGCCGCCCACCCCGCGCCCCGCCGCGCCCGGCCGCGCCCGGCCGCGGGTTTATGAGCGCAGGGGCCGCTTCACGGCCACGGCCATCAAACGCAAGTCCCCAGGGGGGCGTCCCCGCCCGACCCGCCGGGAAGTGGGAGAGCGCGCCCCGCTCCGCCCGCACCCCGCACCCACGCCCGCACCCCCGCCCCGCCCGCACCCCCGCCCGCACCCCGCGCCCCCGCCCGCACCCCGCGCCCCCGCCCCGCTCCGCCCGCACCCCCGCCCGCACCCCGCACCCCGCGCCCCCGCCCGCACCCCGCACCCCCGCCCGCACCCCGCACCCCGCGCCCCCGCCCGCACCCCGCGCCCCCGCCCCGCTCCGCCCGCACCCCCGCCCCGCTCCCCGTCCACGCCCCGCGCCCCCGCCCCGCTCCACCCGCGCCCGCACCCCCGCCCCGCGCCCCGCTCCGCCCGGGCCCTCGTCTCCGCTCCTCCGCCCCGCGCCTCCCCCCTGCGCCCGGCGTCCTCGGGTCCCGGCCGCCCCGGCCCCGGAGAGGGGCGCGCGCGGAGGGGAGGCGGGAGGCGGGGCGTCCGGCGCGGGGCGGGGCCTGTCAGCGCTCGGCCTCGCCCCCCGCGCCTGTTCCGCGTCTTCTCCTCCCGGGACGCAAACCTCCAGCAGCTGCCGGCGGGGCCCCGCGAGGCCGGCCGGGGAGGGAGGAGCCGCGGCCTCGCCCGCCGCCCGCCGCCGTTCTCGGGACGCGCGGGCCGAGGAGGCCAAAGTTTGTCTCGGCCGTGAGTTGCAGCCCGGGCCGCGCCGGGGCCGCCGCGCTTCCCGGCATTGTTTGCAAACTTTGTTCCCCTCCCCCGCCGGGCCGGGGCCGCGCGGAGAGGCGCGGGGAGCGGGAGCGGGACCGGGGAGCGGGACGGGGCGCGGGGAGCGGGAGCGGGACCGGGGAGCGGGACGGGGAGCGGGGCTCGGGGTCGGGGAGCGGGACGGGGCGCAGGGAGGAGCGGGGAGCGGGGCCGGGGCGCGGGAAGCCGGGGGCCAGGGAGCGGGGCGCGGGAGCGGAGCGGCTCGGGGCCGGGGCGCGGGGAGGAGCGGGGAGCCAGGGAGCGGGGCCGGGGCGCGGGGAGGAGCGGGGCCGGGGCGCGGGGAGAAGCGGGGAGCAGGGCCGGGGCGCGGGGAGGAGCGGGGCCGGGGCGCGGGGAGAAGCGGGGAGCGGGGCCGGGGCGCGGGGAGGAGCGGGGCCGGGGCGCGGGCGCGGCATGGGCGGGGTCCCGAGCCGGGGCGCGGAGCCGGGAGCCGCAGCCGGGGCGCGGGGCCGGCGGCTCTGAGGGGCGCGGCCCGCCCTCCCGCGGGGGCTCCGGCGCCGGCATGCGGCGCCCCGGGCCCCGCCTGTGGCTGCCGCTGCTGCTGGCGGGGTCGTGCGCCGCCATCGGCTCCCCGGACGCGGGGCGCGCCGCGGACGGCCGCTGCCAGCCCGTGGAGATCCCCATGTGCCGCGAGGTCGGCTACAACAGCACGCGCATGCCCAACCTGCTGGGCCACGAGGACCAGCGCGAGGCGGCCATCCGGCTGCACGAGTTCGCGCCGCTGGTGGAGTTCGGCTGCCACGGGCACCTGCGCTTCTTCCTGTGCTCGCTGTACGCGCCCATGTGCACCGAGCAGGTCTCCGCGCCCATCCCCGCCTGCCGCGTCATGTGCGAGCAGGCCCGGCTCAAGTGCTCGCCCATCATGGAGCAGTTCAACTTCCGGTGGCCCGACTCGCTGGACTGCAGCCGGCTGCCCAACAAGAACGACCCCAACTACCTGTGCATGGAGGCGCCCAGCAACGGATCCGACGAGCCGGGCCGGGGCGCGGGCCTCTTCCCGCCGCTCCTCCGGCCGCAGCGGCCCCAGGAGCCCCCGCCCAGGGACGGGGGCCCCGGCCGCGCCGGCTGCGCCAACCCGGGCAAGTTCCACCATGTGGAGAAGAGCGCGTCGTGCGCGCCGCTGTGCGCGCCCGGCGTGGACGTGTACTGGAGCCGCGAGGACAAGCGCTTCGCCGTGGTCTGGCTGGCCGTCTGGTCCGTGCTCTGCTTCTTCTCCAGCGCCTTCACCGTGCTCACCTTCCTCATCGACCCCTCCCGCTTCCGGTACCCCGAGCGCCCCATCATCTTCCTCTCCATGTGCTACTGCGTCTACTCCGTCGGGTACATCATCCGCCTCTTCGCGGGCGCCGAGAGCATCGCCTGCGACCGGGACAGCGGGCAGCTGTACGTCATCCAGGAGGGGCTGGAGAGCACCGGCTGCACCCTGGTCTTCCTGGTGCTCTACTACTTCGGCATGGCCAGCTCCCTGTGGTGGGTGGTCCTGGCGCTCACCTGGTTCCTGGCGGCTGGCAAGAAGTGGGGCCACGAGGCCATCGAGGCCCACAGCAGCTACTTCCACCTGGCGGCCTGGGCCATCCCGGCCGTGAAGACCATCCTGATCCTGGTCATGCGCAGGGTGGCAGGGGACGAGCTCACCGGTGTGTGCTACGTGGGCAGCATGGACGTGAACGCCCTCACCGGCTTCGTGCTGGTCCCGCTGGCCTGCTACCTCGTGGTCGGCACCTCCTTCATCCTCTCGGGGTTCGTGGCCCTGTTCCATATCCGCAGGGTGATGAAGACAGGCGGGGAGAACACGGACAAGCTGGAGAAGCTCATGGTGAGGATCGGCGTCTTCTCCCTGCTCTACACCGTGCCGGCCACCTGCGTGATCGCCTGCTACTGCTACGAACGCCTCAACGTGGACTACTGGAAGGCGCTGGCCGTGCAGCACAAGTGCAGGGTGGACAACCAGACCAAGTCGCTGGACTGCGTGCTGGCCGCGTCCATCCCCGCCGTGGAGGTCTTCATGGTGAAGGTGTCCATGCTGCTGGTGGTGGGCATCACCAGTGGGGTGTGGGTCTGGACCTCCAAGACGCTGCAGTCCTGGCGGCACGTGTGCGGCCGCCGGCTGGGCCGGAAGGGCCGCCGGAAGCCAGCCAGCGTGCTCACCGGGGGCAGCGGCGGGATTTACAAAAAAGCCCAGCACCCCCAGAAGCCACATCTGGGCAAGTACGAGCTCCCTGCCCAGCCCCCCACCTGCGTGTGAGGGGCTCTGGCCGGGCCCCCACCCTGCCTCTCGGAGGCTTCTTTTTTAAGTAAAAACTTAAATAAGTGCATATATATATATATATATATATATATATATGTACAAATGTGTAAATGAAAGGTCTTTACCTTGAAATTCAGGATGCACGATCCACTGAATGTAAGAAAGTACTTAAGGCTTCTGTGCTGGTTCTCAGCCAGCGGCCTCTGGAGTAACTCATTTGTGGATTCCTCCCTCCCAAGGAAACTTGTTTAGAGCCTTCTGCAAATACACTCTGGATTGAGTAGGCTTTGCGGGCCTATTTACAAAGGAGAGGGCCAGATAACTTCTTTGCAAGCTAAAGAGCCTCCCTTGGCTGGAAAAGTGAGCGGCTCTGGGGAGGGGGCGCCCCCGGGAGGCTGCGGGAAGGCCTGCTGCCTCTGTAGACAGAGCCAGAAAGGATCCGGACTCCGCTTCACACTGGGGGGCTGTGGGGTGTCTTGGAAGACTCCACCCTCCTCCCCTCAGGACCCACACCCCCTCCTCCTCAGCGTTTGTAAATCCAAATGTGCAATATACCCCCCTCCTTCCCATGGAAATAAAAAAGAGAGACAAGTATTTTGCTGTCCATAAAGACAACAAAAGAAATCTCTCAACAAAAGGACTCGCCTGGCCTTGAAGCCCTCCCTTCAGGGTTACATTTTGTGGCTTCTAATGGGAACTAAGCTTGTGTTATACACATTTGGGCTGCTCTGTGGCCTGGCCGGGGGAGGGGGAGAGGGGCATTCAAAGTACCCCAGGGCTTATTGACTTTCCATTGTTAAACAAATGAGGCCCATGAATAGACCAGAAGCCACAGGGTGAGGGACAAACTTTGTCTAGTGGTTCACCTCTGCCAGCCTGGGCAGCGTCTCCCGCCTCTGTACACTTGTAATATATGATATTTTTCACACTCTACTATTTTATTAAAAAAAATAAAAGATGTTCTTTAGTTTGCTGCTAGTGGCTGTGCTGCCTCGTGAGATTTTCTCCCCTTCTGGCTCTAAGGAGACAGCAACTTTTCTTCCTCGGCTCTTTAGGCCCGGGTTGGGGTGTGCACTGTGCTGATTTCTGGTCGGCTCTCTCAAAAGCTGCAGAGGGGCAGGTGTGCAGGCCCGCAGCCCCATTCAGTCCTGTTTCAGGGCCTCACAGTCACGTGCAGGCACCGGGAGCTGGAGGTATTTTCTGGGGTGCTTGGTAGCCAGATGCCAGGACTTCACGGTGGGCCGCCAGGAGCCTGCAGTAGCAGCAGGGCAGAGCTAATGAAGAGAATCCAGCCAGCCTTGTACCGGTGACACAACCTGGAAAGAGCCATGTGGAGCCCAGGACAGGTGCTTTCCCATTGCTGGGTCCACGGCTTGAGCCATGGGATGGACAAGACATGGACCGTGCCCAGCAGGGATGAGTCCCAGCCAGGAGATATTCCACGGCAGGCCCCTGCCACTTCACAGCAATGGCCTTGTCCAGTGCCCCCTGGCAGAGCTGGGCAGCTGCAGGCCCTGCCTGAGTGGGTCCAGGATCTGGGCAATGGCGATCCAGCCCTGCTTGGCTGGGAAAGCACTCCAGCCAGGCTTCCCTTGGTCTGCACTTTCTCCCCCATCTTGAACAGCAACTGGAAGCGCTTCAAGCCTTAGTGTGTCCTCCCAAAGCCTGGCAGAGGCCGGCCCCGTGGGCTTTCTGAAGCGAGTGTCGAGAAGCAAAGGGGGTGGAGGATGTGAGCCCCACATACCCCCATTGACAGCCCCAGGTGCAGGCCTGGGAGGCACCCAAGTGTCAGCCAGGAAGGCCAAGTCAGAGATGGTGAGCTCCAGAAAGCTCCGCATGAAAACAGGGTGGAGAGGGGGAGCTGGTGGAGATGGTGGTGGGCTGTTTTGTTTTAAAGTGGCCACAAATAAAAATGTATCTGTTGCTTGTTCCCATCCAGACTCCCAAGGTGACGTGTCAAACTATTTTAGTATGTTCGTCTGCGTGTATACAATGTAACCTACAATGTAACCTTTTGGTGACTCTGGGGGGTAAGAAAAGTCATGTCTTAAAACAACCCACAAAACAACTCGGGGCAGAGCCCCTGGGTGGCACAGGGGAGGCCGTCGCCGGTGTGCGGCCAAGGTGTCCGCGCCGGACACCAGCGGGTTCTGAGGTTGCCCCAGTTGCAAGCACTGCTGTGCCAGACGTTCAGGTTGGGTCCCCAGGAGAGACAGGTTCAAGCACAGAGACACAAGATAATAAGACCTTTGTCGGATCTGTCCAGAGACACTGACCTTGTGCACAGTGTCAGGACGTTAACAAGCGGTTGGGCCAGCCCGGCAGGGACCAGGCGGAGCTAGGACGCTCTGAGCAAGCCGTCTCAAGCATAGGAGCTTAGATACACGGACAAGCTCTCTTGCTGGCTCGCTGGCTCACTCTCACACACACCAGCTGAGCTGAAATCTGACCCTAGAATGCATAGACGGCTAATTGTAATAGAAGTTAGAGGACCTTTCAAAGGGATCGCCATAACCGGGAGTTTCCCTGGCAGTAGAGTCTTAGCTCCAGGAAGCAGGAAAGCCGTGGGTGGCAGGCAGGCGGCCTGGCAAAGTCACTGGGAGAAGCAGCTCAGACAAGGCGGTCTTCAAGACCACAGCCCGGGCTCCTGCTCACACCTTCCCAGCCTCCGCCGTCCCTCGGGCGCAGCTCAGCAGCCCGGGCTTTGTGCGGCCCCAGCAGCGGGGGGACAGGGCACAGCTCACTCCTGTCCTTCCGTGTGTTGGTGGCGTCCACTGTGGTGGGCGGGGGTGACCTCCAGACCCAGAGGCAGCAGGGACACCGGTGACCAGACAGAGGAGTCTGCAGGGAGGAGCTGGGTGGGGCCTGGCTGGTACCCAGCACCAAGCCAGGGTGCCTGGTGCATACTGGTCACTACCAGAAGGGCAGCCGCGGTGCAGACCGCACAGCCAGGGCTAAAGCTCTTTCCCAGCCGCCTCACACTGAGCGCTTCTCATCAGCCCCTTTACGTAGGAAGAGCCCTGTGCACAGAGGGGTTCCTTCAGGTCCCAGGGTTGCACAGTCAGGAAATGCGAGCGCTTGGGTAGGAACCAGGTAGGCTGGCATCAGCCCCAGGGCACTGGTTCAGCAGTAGCTGTCCAGCGGATGCGCCGGCTCGGGGTGGCTGGCACTGAGGGGTTTACCCACCCTCTGGTGTGGCTCTGGCACTCCAGGGTGGGTGAAGATTTGGAGCCCAGAGGTGTTGAGTTTCTTGCCCAAGGCCACGAGTACCAAGCAGGGAGGGCAGCGTGGACGGAGTGGGGAAGGGGCGGCCGTGCGTCTGACCTCCACCCTGTGTCTCTAGGCTCCCCGGCCATGCAGACCAACGCATCTGTCCCTCTTTGCCCCTGATCACAGAGACACTGCCCAGCCTGGCCACGGCCCGCAGCGGCCCTGGGAAGCCCACAGGAGCTAACAACACGGACTAAGAATCCTCCCGGGTAAGGGCACAAGGAATGGCACTGTGCTGGTGGGGAAAGGCGTGAGGAAATCTCTCTTCCATGAGATGTGAAAGTCATCTGTGGTGAGGCTGCACCCATTTCGTGACCGTGAAGGAACACGCTAGTGTCAAAGCCCAAACTCCGAGATGACAGCCAGCTTTATGGCTTCATTAAGCGTTTCACCTCCAGGGTTATGATGTGAGGTCATTAACTGCCTGTATCTCCTGAGCCTGGGCCTCCCACGTCTCTCTGATAGAATCGCCAGTGCTTCCTTCCCAAGGCTTTGCGTGCTTACAGATCAGCAGAGATGCTGACTCAGTAGGTCTGGGTGGGGCCCGGAATCCATTTGTAATAAGCTCCAAGTCCACTGGCACTCCTCACCTACTGGCCTGGCCAGGGACTGACTGACTGCCCACTTAAGCTAAACCCCAACATGTTGTTCTTAACCGTATAATTAGGGTTCTGCCCAGCGGGTGCCCTAGTTTATACTGGCTGTCAATCACAACTTCTTATATTCCCTGGGAATCCTGCTTCCTTAGGAGTATTCTCTATCAACTTTACTCTTACCAGAAGTGCCACTGGGGGTCTGGACTCCTTAAGCAGGGGCCGGGAGAGGAGGCAATTCGATAGAAGTTATCTAACAAGGATGCAATTAAAGAGACGGTGGGATCCGAGGACACCCACAGCAACGTAACACATAATCAAGGGGCAAGAACGGCATCTTCATAAAAGTCAGGGGCAAAACAGGGCTGGTGTCACCGTGGAAACGACCTTGGACATGCTAGCCATGCAGTGACCGAGGGGAGAAGTTAAAACCATCCGGAAGTATCATTTTGGGCCGCTGACATGGAGGGGGCTCAGAGTGCCCATTTCTCATGGGCGAACGGGGCGGGAGCCACGCACTGCCAAGTGCTCTTAAACCACCATTAGTGCCCACTGCCGCCCTTAATGTAAGCACTCCTTCCAGTGTTTACTTCCTGTGAGCCAAGAGGCCGGGCGCTGGGGCAATCACACTCCTTAACTGACAGCTGCCCAGCTGCCTTGAGCAGGGGACTAGCAACCAACCACTAGACCGACGGCCCTTGTGCCAGCCTGGCCGCTCCACACCCTCCCTGATCCCTGGAGGAAGCTGCAGCACAACCACAGCTGCCTGCTGCCAGAGCCCAGCGCCAGAAGACTGTCCCAGCCACCACTGTTAATTAAGAGACTCTCATCGCCAGCCTCGGTGAGCTGGAGGAGGTCCTGCACCCGCTTCCACCCAGGCCAGAGGCGGAGTCCTTCCCGGTGTCTCAGCAGAAAGCTTATGATTGGTGCAAAGACAGTCCTTTATTTGCATGCTCTGCTATGACTGGTGCAAAGACAGTCTTTCATTTGCATGAATGGTCCCAGCCCAAGGCCCACTCAGGAGCAGGAGCACTAGGAGGTGTTGCGAGCACCTGCCACTCACCATGGCCTCCATCTCTGATTACAATTGCTTAGGCGCTCAGGGGTCTGGGACTGCCAGCCCCAGGGAGCTCC